AAATAGAGCAGGTCTAGACCCAACTCCTTATCAAATTATTTACAGAGACCCAACAGTTCCCACCATGAGCAAGCACTTGGCGACGGCAACAAGAGGCAGAAACCTCGGACAGACCCCCGCTCTAGGTCAAAATTACAAGAGGAAAACTATAGTGTGTGATGTATTACAATATCTTCTTTGGTATAATAGAAGGAAGGACGTTTTTTCATGTTCACTGTTTTGTATTTCTCTATACTATATCAGCTATAGTTAAAACAATTTACGTCCCAGTCCTTGTCACATCGATATAAGCTTCACACAAGCAGCATCTCTGCGAATGAAGTCACAGCTGTTTATATGGATATGGGAAAATTAAAAAAAAAAAAAAAAAATCTGTGGCTCTTAGTGAGGACAGTAACAAAAACATTAAGACATCTGCATTAGGGGAAAAAAAAAAAGTATTCTGAGGTTTGAGGTGTAATTATGTGGAGATAATCTAACGTTGCTCCAGGAAGTGCATAACTCCTTCTTTGTAGAGAGCAAAGACTTTATGATACTTTCATTACTGTGTCATAGAAGAATGAAAAGGCTGCTGTAATTAACTGTCAGGTTGAGAAACTACCCAGTCTCACTTTTACACATTTTAAAAATAGTTTACATTATAAAACATTCCGCATAACACAGACAATGAAATGGAAAAGGGTCACTTTTAGAAAAAGGTATTACACCATCTTTCTCATGAAATACCGCACACACACTGTGTTTGAAAAAAAACAGCTTACAGATCCCTGCAGGTAGAGAAGGCAGTCCCTCTTCTGAAGGGTCCTCTGGTAGGCTGAAGGGCACATTCTGTGAGACATCAAAACAAAACAGTATCATAGCAAGCACAAGATTAAGAGATTATTCCCGCCCGTGTCTGGCCCGCTTGAGAAAGACGGACTGATTGCACATAATTAGATATGCAAACTGTTGAGCAATGCATCCCACCCAGAGCTGCTGCAGTGGTTTGTTTAACCATTTGTGGGGAACAAATGAATTCACACGTTTGTGATAATGTTCCTTTCTTTCATGCTGTATTGAGGAACTGTATGTACACATTTATGTGTCGATTAATTGGGTCAAAAATGCAATTATATTGGCCTTAACAGAGCCTACAGGTACAACACTGGAATGAATGTTTTAATATCTTTGGATTTATGAAGTAAAATGATTTTATATCGTTATGCTGTTTAAATTACATTTAAATAGGTAACTTCTCAGGGCAAATAAACAACATGAAGATATAACACCAGGCAAAAACACCTCCACTCTCTCACACAAACACATGCATGTAATGAGTATGTAACTGGTACAAACCTCTGGATTGTTGTCCTGATCCATGTTTTTAAGCTCTGGAAGTGTGAAAGAGGGCAGATTGGAGATTGAACAATGTGAGTTTATGAGCTTTGCGACAGTGCAGCCGTACTGACTGCTGACGCTGCTTTAAGGGGAAACAGCAACGATTTACAGACCAGTCCACAAAAACGCAGCTAACTTCACAGGATGAGACGCTTAAAGCAAACAGACTGCTGACTCTTAATTGATTCATTTTTCATATAAATCAAAGACGCAACGCCATCTCATTACGGCTGAAACACTTGGTACACCAAAGGCTTCCGTAGCTAAAGAAGAAGTAACTTTTCAGTCAGCTAGCGTTACTTCCAGGTCCTGGGACTGCTCGACATTAGCGTTTGGAGGTTTTTTTTTTTTTTTATGAGCTATAGCTATGATGACAACAGCTAACAGCAAGCTAACGTAGGCTAACAAGCCTGGTAAGCGTTTCGCCAAATGAGACGCGGTGAAACGGAATCATTTCACACAAAAATGTCGCCACTATCAAGGACAACGCATCGGGCGACATGTAGGAAAGATGTCCTAAAACAGATATGAACAACTTACCGAGCCAGCCAGTGTATGTCAGTGTGTGCTCTTCGCCAGCGCAGCACGACAGAGCTCTGCTGAAACCATTGACAGTATGGCTGAAACTGACAGCCGCAGTGCATTCTGGTACATGTAGTCATTGGTGTGGTTTTTTTTTTGTTTTTTTTTAAATAATGAAAATGTTTATTTGTTGTCATTAGAACATTTCACACAGAACAACCAACCTTCCACCCTTTTCACCTGCATTTAAGACTGTGGGAGATTTACCCTCCGCCATTGTCTCACTATGAAAATCTACACAGAAAATCAGTTATAAGCAGAGCTGTGTTGAAACATGTAACATGCTCTCACACAGGCTCGTGCTACAAGTCTTAAAGTGCTTTTGGATACATTTAGTGTGCTTGAATAGTCTAACAGGGTGATTTTGACCCAACCAGTGTCATGACAACGAGACGGATCGGTTTGTTATTTCCACCAAAAGATAACTGGAAGTCCAGAAGTTTGTGTGTTTAGTGACTGCCCCAGAAGAAAAGATGAGTATGCATAGGTCTGCCTATACTGTAGGTAGGCCCCTGACAACAGCACTAATGTCTTCTACAGTAGATGTCATATTGGCGTGAAAGTCAGTGCAGACAGTTCCTTTATTGAAGTTCCTGTAATCATGTATGCAGCTGCAAGAAATGTGTATGGAGAGGTTGTGGTAGGCACCCATCACCTTGTCACACTCACTCATTCCCTGTAAAAAGTGCTAACATACCTTATATGCTCGGTTTTACTACAAATAACAGACCAACTATGCTACCTATTCATTCCTTCATAGCGAATGTTAGCACAATGTGAGACAGGGCAGAACTACTTAAAGAAATTTAGATTGTGTCGGAGGCAGCAGATGACAATCAAAATCCTAGTCATCATGTAATAAACCATCCAGTGAGGAACGATTTAACATCTACTCATCACTTCACATCACAGCACTCCCACAAGAAGCCAGCAGAACACAAAAGTCACACACTTTACCAGTGAGACCAGTTCCATTCATCATATTGGAGCTGGTAATAAAGTCTTCAAGTACCAAACACCCACATCACTGCCTTTTTACTAGATATCATAGATATCTGGTTCCTAGTAGACAAATCTGAACAATATTGTAGTTATTCGTCACCTCACAATGCAACAGTCATTGTAGAGTCTGTTCTTTTGCTTTTCCTTTATATAAAATGCCAAATTACCTATTATTAATGACATGCAAATATGGTCGAGTCAAGATCTGATACAAATTCCTAATTAATGGTGAAATGGCAACGATAAAGCCATGAAACGTGTGTTATATTTTAAACACCCCACAAACACTGAGTCATATACAGTGTCTATACATGTTTAGCATTTTGTGAAATATGATGCTTCAAGCGCATACATTATTGCCACACATATATTGTGATCTTTTGCATATTAATTGTGCAGATCTCAACAACTGTATTGCGTGAGCTACCTTTCTACTTGGCTATTGGGATAAAGGGACTAAGCGTTATCATACGTGATAAATACATTTAGTTTGAAGCCATAAAACACTCCTCTTTGCAGATATGCATCTCTAAGGTGTGTGTCTTTTTTTTTTTTTTTTTTGAGAAAGCTAACTCATTGCCGCTCATTCTTTAATTAGGCCTTTTCAATAAAGCTGACTGTTTGACCCTGCACTATAGCACCCTGTTGAATTATATCACTGCTGGTTTCATTGGAGGGTGTTAAGCTGTACACAGTCACCCTGAGACATGAATGTGACATCATTTCCTACAGTAATACTCTAATCAGTATTCTCAAATACACAAGCTTTTGTCTTAACCTCTTTAAATCACATTCCCATCTAAAACGCCTACTAGAGTCCAACTTAATTTTTCTCAGTGTCCAATTTCTGCTCGTCAGTCAGCCCAAGCCACCAATCACAGGAGTGCGTGAGTTAATTAAAAGAGTAGAGGTGACTGTTGATAGGAGGTGATTGACATGGTGGTTGTGTGCGCAGAGTGTAGTGTCGGGGAAGGAAATCTCGGTCAGCATTCCCCCTTCTTCAACATTCCCCAGCGGCAATGAGCTCCCCAGGTCTCTGTGCCAGTCTGTCTCTACGGTTTTCTTCATCCTCCTCTTCCTCAAAGAGAGTGTGATGTATACTCAGCAGCTGGTGCGTAGGGGCTCTGGTCAGGGGTGGTGGCGGACACTCAGGATTTTCCGTCTGGGTGTGGGGCTCCCTTTGAGCAGGAGAGGACTTGGGACTGAGGGGGTCCTCGCTGGAGGGAGGGTTCGGGCTCACGCCGTTTACGTAACTAGAGGTGGGCAGGGTCACTGTAGAAAAGGCAGTGTTGGTCGCTTCTGGAGAACAAACCTTAGTTTCTGAAGAGAAAAGAAGGAAATATTAGACAGGGTAGAGAAAGAGAGGCAAAAGTCAGTGTGTCCCCCATTTTGAAGAAAACATACTTTTTCAGAGGTCAGCAATAATTGGACAGGGAGACTCTGAGAATGTTTAAATTCCTTGAATATTTGACCCACATGGGTTAAGTGAAACGTGATAAATTCTGCCCTGAAACAGAAAGAGCAGGAGCGAAGGAGAGATTAGGGTTACCTGTAATTGCGCCAGACACATGAACAATAGTGTGTGTGCCTTCAAGGTAGACTGCATCCATGTTGTGCTCTGTGGGTGCGATTGTGGTCTCCACCTTGGGCTTACGAATGGTTAGCATGTATGGGTGGACATCCAGAGAGAAGTTGCGAGTGTGCTTTTTCTCCATCCCACTTACATCTGTGATTGGAAATTAAAAATGCCTTAAATGGAGGAAGAACATTACAGCAAATAAACAGGTTGTGCTTAAACCCACCATAACTGATCATATCTGGATTTTTATATTTATATATTATCAATGTAGAAAGTTCCTCAAACACATCCAGCAGAGACACAGCAACATAAGCATTCATTTGGGGTTGTGTTTCTGCCTACCCTGCAACTTTTTAGTCAAATAATCACTCTGCTTTTAGCTCTGTTTTGGTCTCCACTAACTCCTGAGAAAATGATCTGTCTCTTTAGCAGCTAAATGCTCCATTATGTTCACCAGCTCGTTGTATAGTAATCCAGCAGTGTTTACTGGGCAAATCAAAGTATTTTCCCTGAACAGCTGCCTGCTTGATGAAAAGCTGTGAAAGTGAATCAAAAGAGTAAAGTTGTGGGCTGTAAAACCAAAACGATCAAGGCTGATAGATGCAAAAATGTTAAATAAAACTGAAGGAAACTGCAGAGTTGGGTGATAATTGTCACTACAAGCAATCCCTTTAACATAACACAAAGTCATTTGATCCATTGTTAATAAAAGAATATAGATAAGCGCAGCTTTAAATCAAATAGTTATTTCTTAACATGTCACAAACTTACTGGTCATAGTACTGCATACCTTTTGTTGTAGGATATTGTGTGCTCTTGGTATCCAGAAGTGGTGCAATGAAGTTGTCAGCCTTTCGTCTGACTGGTTTGGGTTTTTCAGACTTGGTGTTATTTTCCAGACGTGTCAGGGTAGAAGGTTCCTTTACAGGGGACAGAAAACACCAAAAGAAATAATAATTATAGCTTCAACTACAATCAAGGCAGTCAAAGGCAAATTAATGCACAATTTAAGTATTATACATATATTGGAAGTGCTAAATGAGGACCACTTCCTGTCCCTTTTCACAGAAAGATCTCATCGAGAACTGATATGGCTAATTTGGAGGCATCTTGAACATACACATAGTACACGTTAATGTGAACTGCTGCACTCTAATGAACAAGTTTGTAGTAAGTATTCTGTTTCTCGAGGACAGTGGGGTTAGATATTTTCCTTCTGCTGTCATTGATGCTGAATAAATGTTGATGTATTACAGCTGAAGACATGGAAATTGCTCTCAGGCAGCTGCCTCACCTTGAACGGCTGAGGAAGAGGATTTGAGCTTGGGATCCATTTAATTTTCTTGCGGGGCCGTTTGATGACTAGCGGCTCACCCATCTCTCCCACTCCAAGATCCATATTGGGATCAAGTGTTTGTATCCCAGAGTCCCTCACAGTGGGTGTAGCGTCATGGTTGGACTGTGCAAGTGCAGCCAACAGCTGCCTGACCACATTGTCATACATGAGGTCACTTTCATTGGTGATGAAGTCCAGCCTGTTGAGCGACTTGATGTGGTCCCTGTTCTCATTGCAGAACATGGCCAGTATGTTGATGTCACAGAACTGGGACTTCTGCCAGCGACGCCGTGTTTTAATACCAACTTTATGCAGTTTATCAAATACAAAGTTGGACTTCCGCACCACAAACAAGTGCAACAAATTAACCAGGATGATAAGGTTCATGGTGCAAAGCAGAGAAATATCTACTACTGCCATGATGCGCTGTAGCTGCACTGCAGGCAGCTTACAGTTGACCCTGAGCTTCAGCTCTGCATAGCTGCTAATGTCTGGGGGCTCACCCAGCGCACAGGTGAACTCATTCTGCCTTTGGCGGGCATAGTAGGCGCTCAGGTAGGAAATGGGGATGGAACTGAGGCAGATTATAGCCAGGTGGCGTGCCAGGTAAAGCTTAGCCAGAAAGTTACTTTGACCTCGTCTCTCCAAATATTTCTCAAACAAGTTCTGCTCGGGGCTTTTCTCCTTCTCTGCATTCTCTATGATCTCCCTCCTCTCCTGCTCAGTTATGCCAGGTCCTTTGGATTGGATCTGCTTCTCGATCTTTGGGGCTCGGCCCTCAGCAGCACGATGATAGCAGTTATCTATCTCTTGAAGCAGGAAATTGAGCTCTGAAGTGAGCCGTGTAGAGGCCATGAACTCCCAGCCCAAAGCAGGAATGTACATGATTCCAGCAAAGGCCAGCAGGGCGTAGGGCAGGAACTTGTGTTCAAAGAGTGAAGGCCAAAGGTGAGACTCCACGCCAGGTAAAGCATCCCGAAGTTCTGTCCAGCAGTAGCCTCTTGCATACAGTGCCTGGTCTCTGGTGAAGTTGTGTGGTGTGTAACAGTATATGGACTCCTCTGTGGAAAGTACACATAGAAAGAATGATATTAATCATGATATTAACAAAGTACATTAGCTACATCGTGGATCTTATCAGCTATTGTTCTGTCAAATTGTATTGGCCAGATGTGTGAAACCTCTGCTAGATTTTATAACATGTGAGCAGTCAGATAAAGTGACAGGTTTAGAAAAAAATCTTAGGTGTAACAATTTTATCTAAACCACTTATTTGAAAGTGGAAAAAGGTAAACATACCTGAAGTATCTGTTGTAATCATCCATTGTACTGTTAAACTGTGTGTGCACACAACTACACTGAGTACTGTGAGTTAGACTCTAACCATTCAGTAGCTTCAGTCAGATGTTTAAAACGCACACTATAGGTAATATATTTAATGCTCACCTTCATTTCACTTCCATATAGTGCTTAAGTGAATATAGTTAAACTGGGGATTTGGTGTCCCCTCATATTTATTGCAGAAACTTTGCAACTTTAGGAAATATCTTGCACCTATCTGACCTCTGTTTCATTTTTATTTGTACTGTATCTCTGAGGATCTTTCACAATAATTCATCTGCTCAGCACAAAGTGCTGCGTGTCTATATAATACTCATTGCTTTTTGAAATGATAGAAGTGTCTGCCTGGCTCAGATAGAGGAAGGGAGAACACTCTTTCCTGTCAAAGTTGTACTCTTATCACTTCTGTGTCCATTAAGTACAAATATAAGTGGCTCAGGGCTGCAGCAAGTCCACTTTTAATCTTTGGAAATAAGTGACACCTGATATTACAAATGGTTGCTATATAAATAAACTTCATCATTTTTAATAAAAACTACTGGAAAAAGTAATATTTAAAGCCAGCATGTATTCTTTTATGTTACTGGTAATAAAGGCAATATGTGCAATAACATGACTTTGTTAGTCACAGAGGGCAGGATGCTGTCCTTGTGCTGAGTCATGTTAAAAAAGGTTTGGCAGTGGCCTAAATATCATTATAAAACACACAGTGAGGGAATACTGGGAAACTTGTCTAAACACCCACATCTTTCTGCTGCTAAAGTTAAACGCTCAGTCTCAGATGCTTAATGCTGCTATGCAGAGAGTCTGACTCAGCAATGAACTAACATCTCTCCCATCCATCGCTTCCGCTCTTTCTTCTACCCAAACACCTTTCTCTTCCCCCTCCCTATAATCCATCCCCTTGTGTCTCTAGAATCTCTCTCTCGCCTCTCTATAGCCTTTCTGCCTCTCTTTGTGTACTCCTCTAATGCACTTGGCGATGTTTCTGTTTCCTGCCTTGCCTAATCTCACAGAAGACACAAAGCACTGCATAGCTAACTAAAAATATACTGGGTATAACTCATTTGGATCAACTTGACCTTTTTAGATTTACTTTATTGTTGCTTTAAAAGAAACAGCATGCACCCTTTGCAGACCAGTGTTAGATGCTGTCACAAATTAAACTTGTTCAAAAGTTATATGAAGGGTAACAGCTGATGTTGTAACTTAGGCACCCTAGCTTTGGCACCTCTAGTGGCATAAGTCTCACCTGCAAAGTTCCTTGTGAAGACGAGGGTGACCAACAGGATGGGGATGATGACAGTCCCTATAGTAACAACTCGATCAAAGGGCAGCTCCAGTTTTAGCTGCACCATGAGACTGGCCAGTACCCCAGCCTTCTCATCCTGAGAGGAGCCGGGCAGGATCAGCTCCTTCAGCTTCTCGCCGGCGAGTAGAGCTGTGGCCATGTCTAAGTTTTGATCGAGGATGTTCTGCATCCGGAACACGAAGGGCGCACAAACCACAGCCTCCCTCTAGGCTGGAGGGGAGACCAGACACTCCCTGCTGTAGGTAAATACTCCTCAACACAGTGTGATACACAGGCCCACACACACACACAAAAATGTGTGGCCAACCTCAGCCCCTGTCACCATGCGTAGGAAAGTGGAGGGTCATACTGTGTGGCCTGTGTTCTTCGGAGCTTCGGAGAGTTTTCTACACTTTCCCACAGCTTTTCTCTTTTAGAAGAGCAGACATAACATTCAGAAGCACACCACTTGCACGGTCTCTTCTGTGTGCATGTCCGTGTTTCGTCCCATCTCTACAGTGCCTGGCCTCAGTCCACGCACTCTGTGGCAGGTTGAGGAATGAGCTGAGTTTAGGAGGCGTCCTCACAATCCCCAGGGAGGGTGACTGCTGGCTCAAGAGTTGTTACGTGAGCTTCGGTCAGGAGAATCTCTGAATCTCTTTTCCTGAAAGACAGAGGACAAGTTAGGGCATTACAGTGTGTGCATTTCTATAAAAGTACAGTGAGGTACAAGATGCCATTTCTGGGAACATATTTATAATAATAATTAATAATAATTTTGCAACCATCGTTCAAACAAGCCATAGTGTTCCTCAGGAAAGCTCTCTCCCTATCCACCGTCCTTTATAATGCACTCATGTGGCTGAGGACTAATCCTCACTCTGTGGCCAGTGGAGTGTGTCAATGTGGTTACCTCTGAGGGGACATTTGCCTTTGATCGAGCAAGGACACTAAAGGGCATATTCATTCTCTGGGGAGTATGCTAAACTAAATTGATTAAAGGCAGAATTTATTCAGTGATTTAGACAAATGTTCTATTTGTCTTAGGAAAATTAACAACCTTATCTTTTTGGACACTGAGTCTGCTCCCCTCTCAGGACTCCTTGCTGGTCATTATCTCTGTGGAACAGCATGTTCATGCTGGGATGTCAGGTGAACCCAGACACTTGTCAGTAGGATATTTTGTCGTGTGTGTGTGGATGTGTGACTAAGTGAGTGAGTGTACATGTATGCATACATACATCAGGATACATAGGGTTGAATTGGCGCCTGCTGCATGCCTATTTCACTTGAAGGTTATGTGAATGTCCTTCCAGAGGAGTGTGAATACATCAACAATTCTTACCCTCTTGTTTTCCCTCTTCCTAATATTCTTTCTTTCTCCATTACTCCCTCTGTTCTCCTCACTTTGCCCTCATTATGCAAACACACAGCTCATCTATGAAATCCTTCAAAGCCCAGTCCTCTAGTCCAGGGCTCCAAAGTATACTTAATATCTCAAAGAGTGGAACCTTGAGACTGCGGTTTCGCAAGTACAATTAGCTTACCCTGGTCCGCTTTATAGCACTCTCACCTGCATGGTGAGATAGATCATAAGGGGAGGATTTCTTTGAAATATTATTAGAGAACATTATTCAAGGCTGCATATGGTAATGCTGACATCATGCAGGAGAACAGGATGTCCCTAATGGGATAAGATAACCTACAGTACAGGTTTTACACTGTCCACATACTGCCAGGTGACAAATCAGGGCAACTTTATCCATATCCTCAAACACTGTTTCAAGTAAGAGGAAAAAACTTTGCATAATTTAAATTTAAAGGGGCAGCATCTAATTTTCAGCACTCACTTAGAGTCTGCACTGCTGTCTGTGAGACTCTGGCACTGCTCCAATCCAACAGATAATTCCTTTCAGTTGGACAATGCTACCAGTGTTTAGAGAGGGAAATCCCACACTTTGGCTACCACAACATCCCGCTTGGCTGTGGCCAGTGCAGCCGGCTACAAAGAGACAGAGCTAAGCTCGAAGAGAAGAGCCCCATTCATTCATTATGAATTAGATGATGGCTGGAGAGGGAAGAACTTTCAGTGTGTATAGATCTGACACTTGTTCTCAGACATTCACAAAAACAAACCTGACCAGATAACTCTAGCAGACTAATGATACATTTTAGAAACATGTGAAGGAATACAGTTTTACACTAATACTGACACATAAAAACACGCAAAGTATCCCCACTGTTTTCTCACTTTTGACTCATCAGTAAGTCCCTATGGAAACACTGCAGGAACATCTCATCAAGGTGAGGAGATCATTATGTCCTAGTTAGCTGGTGTTGAGCTAGATTGCCTCTCTCACTGCTGTCTCCTAACAGGTCTGTGAGTCCAGGACACTGGTTAGAATCGCAAACCAGTGGGACCACACTTCCATCAGAGGCATTGCATTGCAGTGAACTGCAGCTGCCTGCAGATGACGAGCCGTTTCAGCACCCGAACAGCGGATAGCTCCCGAATAGCCAGCCAGAGACGAGCTGCTAAACATCAACTGTAGCGACTGAGTTTGTGAGTGTGTGTGCTGCTCGGCATCTGTGTGTGTGTGTGTGTGTGTGTGAGAGGGAGAGAGAGAGGAGAGTCTCTAAGATGCTCAATACCTGCATCCGCTGCCTACCTGTCCAAACTGGAAAACACCAGAGACCGGAGAAGCCACCCTCCCGCGCCATGTGCATGCATTGGGGTAAAAAATAACAAAAAAAAATCCACTCACCATGTCTCGCTGCATCTCCCGGCACGGTAAGAGTTAATCTGCAGTGCGGGCGAGCAGCTACAGCATGTATCCGAGCACACCGGTTTGTTCCGCCTTCCCCGGCACCCCACCCACGCCACGCTCTCACCAACCCCTCTCCTCTCCCCTCCCTGCCCTGCCTCTTCCTCGGAAACAAGGGACGATGAGATAACGCATTAAGATCCTCTAGTTCATCACATCACGCGTTCATCCCCGCCGTTAACCGAGTGAACGCAGACTTGCTGACAGGGGTTGTGTAAGCTGAGATGCTGAAATATGAATTCAATAATGTTGCCGAAATCGATATCCTACTAATTCTGTCATTATTTGTTGTGGAGGTTTACCATTGAGATATTACAGATCTAAATTATGAATGTTATACACACAGTGATTTTAAAATACCACAGATATTCTCACACTGAGAGCACTAAGGAGCTGGCTAAATAGTCTGGGTGGACCACTACCGACCGGCTACCGGCTATTCCTGTTCAATCAGTCTACAACCGAACTACAAGGCACTGACAGGTTTTTGCTTCCTCATTGATAGGTTCATCCGGCCTGCCCATCATCTTTGATTGCGGGACTTGCCAGAAACACGTTCAGACAACGAATTGGAAACACGCCTGTCATTCATATTCACTGGGTGTGGCGAGCATCTTCTATATTAAAGACAGCACCAGTTCAGTTAGTAGTGGATCATGCAGTGGAGGGTAACCCGACTCAAAGTTTGAAGTAGAGCCTCCTGCAGCTGCTGATGGAGGAGCTCTCGTTTTATTGCATTGGCTGCTTGTGGTGGTAACTGTGATGTGATCCAGATCTAGAGAGCGGAGCAACCAAACTGAACGGCTTTATTAAAATATATGACTGAGCGACTGTTTTTTTCAGATGTCCCCACAGGATCACTGCCGAACAGGGACAGCGTTACAGCAGCTTGTTAAGTTTGTTTGTAGCCTCCAGCAGCCTTTGACTCTCTGCTGGGATTCTTGTGGTGATGCGAGTGAGCGCTCCCGATGCGAGTGCGCGCTCCCGATGTTCGTCAGCTGGACCGAGCCACAAGTCAGTGTTCCTCAAGCCGGTTTCCGCCGGTTAGGGAAGCCGCACCTCACTACGTCTGCCTCCAAATATAGTCTCTCTCTCTCTCTCTCTCTCTCTCTCTCTCTCTCTCTCACATACACACACCACAAACATACACACACACACACACAGCATCGTTGCAGAGATCTTTGTGATGTTCATGTCTTAAGATGTGATGCAGCTCCCTCCTTCCTCTTGCGGTGATGCGAAGAATGCAACAGTCACAGTGGGGAAGACAAAAAAACACAGCATGTCTTTAATTCATTATATGCCAGTGGCCACTTTATGTACTCCTGTACAATCTAATGCAGATCAGTACAGGGTCTGCCACAGAGTCTTTTTTTGGTTTGTTTTTTGGTGGTCAGAAATGTGTAAATTCAGCTGTATGTTGAGGTCATAGTTTAAGGCGGTGTTGTACTGGACTACATTATATTGAGAGCTATTTCTAATGGATTGTCTATCTATTTATATACATAAGGGGGCTGAATATTAGACACACCTGCAGTGCTGATACTTGACCTCAGTGCTAAAATATAATTGAATTCACACCTCTATGACAGTGACAAACTCATAGGCTTCATAAAAGTAGACTTATTACTATAGCAGAGCAGTTGTATTGGATTTCACATGCATTAAAGTCTTAGCCTGTATGTGTAATATTTCCAGTGAATGACATGTTTGTTTCATGTTTTATTGGCCTTTTGAGGCTTAATCTTAAATGTAAGGGAGGGAAATGACTAAGTCTTAATATATGTGAATATATATATCAAGTGCAGAATGGAGCGGAGGGATGGGAGTAAATTAAAGGAGGAAAGGAAATTACCACAGTAGCAAATAAATTAGAGCACAATGATGAGAACACCTTTCTCATTTCCAAACAAGAAAGCAGGGTTGTTGTTTTTCTGGTAAACATACTGTAAATATAAATCACCATATTCTAAACTTTACAGACTGACATCTAAAAATAGGATTATGACCGAACAGTATTTCCTGGAAAGTTATCCTAGGATGCAGGTAAGTTTAAGTGTCATATGTATTTATTGCCTAGTGTACTCAGTCTGTCAAATTGCCATCTGCAGAAAAAATAAACAGAAGGAGCAACCAATAAACACTGTGCTACAGTTGATGACACACATTTTATTTTTTCTAAATACGACACATTTTCAGTTAAAACTCTTTACATCAGTTAATAATGTATTTGCAGTAGCCAACTGTATCAATTATCTTGTAATAAACTGTAATAAACAACCTCTACCACACCACTGTGAGAACACACACATACAAAAGACAACTCACAGTCAAGAATGCTAAGATATGTCAGTGTTCTCTATTTGGGAAGAAGATCTGCAGTGAATTAAGTCTGCCGCTGATATAAAAAAGTGTCATTTGTTGTCTTATTTTGGCATCTATGGAAAGAACTTTCCTATAAATGTGGCTGATTGAGGTTTATACCTTAGAATAAACTGAGCCACTGCCAGGTGATAGATAAGCCAACATGCATTTCTCATTTTAAACTCTTTGTAGGGATACAAATCCGTGCATTGAGTTGAAAGTCTTGGATGTATTTTTGTACATTAACATCCTTTTCATCCTACAGTACAACAATTGTAAAACTTCCTCATCCATTAAATCTAGGATGAATTCAGTTGTATGCTTCTACTTTATAGAACAAAGTTAGATATTTTGAGACATCATAAAACTTTGTGTTTAAGTCTAAAGCATTTTTATACTACTGAACATTGACTCACGCGATTGTTCATTGTACTTAAATGATGTCAATGTAAAAATACTTGTGCTTGTTAAACAACAGAGAATAGTTAAATTCCCAGGTCAAATATTGCCACTCCTCACTACAGTAAAAAAACACCAGAAAACAGACATCAAAGCAAAGTGGTCAAAACATTATCTATGACAGTATCAAAAACCTTACATTCTTTCAAACTTCTCTCTTCTTCTATCTTTTATTTCCTTCTCAATCCTTCCTCTATGTCCCTGTCGCCATGTCTGAATACATGTTTACTGCTTTTTCTTTCTTCCAGTGTGTTCTGTCTCGGGATTATACTCTTGTAGCTTGCAGCTTAGAGTTTGTTTTATTCTTCTGTTTTCCACTTCGCATCATCAGCTTCTCTGTGTACTGTAAGAGTGTTCATTGGGCCATTTGGACCACAACTGCCTTCCAAGCTCTGTCTTTGTCAAAATCCTGCAGTGTTCCGTTGGATGCTTGCTGCTGAGGGAGCAAAAAGGGAAGAGGGAGGAGAGAGAGAGATTGGAGAGAAATGAAATGTGGAAGGGGAAAGGTGACAAAAACAGATAATGATGAGATAAATGATGTGTGAAGGATGAGCAACACAATATAATTTTTGCATGTATGACTAGATCATTGATTTTTATGTCATCCTATTTAACTGCCATTTACATGAGCTATAGCTGCTGAGTCTAACAACTGGAACAGAATTAAATGCATAATTCTCCACATTCTCAAATGTCTATTGTTGGAAGTGGAGAGACAGACAAAGAGAGAAAAAGACACACTTGTCAATTTGTGCCCACGACTCCTGCTTTTACCAGCCTTACCTCACAGTAATGGGTTGCAGAGTGCATGCTATCACTGCACTCTGGAGCCCCCATGCGGAGCTGACTCTTGTAGGAGGCACAGTGCACCACAGTGGCTGAAGTTAGAACTGCCTGCACAAGCAGCAACACCATCAGAATCAGCAGCAGGATGTCGTAGGATTGCTGGACCACACAGACACGCACGCGGACACAAAGATGAAATAGATGATTTTCAATAAGATTTGTCAATGAGTCAGTTTCCCTAAAATCTATTCCTGTATTTCTGATGCAAAAGGACCTCAATGTGTATGTAGGTAATGCTCACTAGCAAATCTGCACATTGCATACTATGGGTGAATCTTCACTTCATTGAACTCACTTTGGCTGTAGGCACTTCATGCAGGAAAATTTCAATAAAGCTGATCACACTGCATGAGAGGAAGCCGGAGGCTGAAAAGAGCAGGGGAGATGTCACACTGCTGATGGCAATCAGAACCTCCACCTGAGGAACACCAGGAAGAGAGAAAAAAAGTTTATAGAAGTTTAAAGAAAAAGGGAATAGTCCCAGTTTGTTTAACTGAAAGAAATAGTAACAAAGTAATGATACCCATCCTAATTAACATCCATAGTTTAGTTGAAGTTTTGTTTATTAAATGTAATGTTAGGGACCATGTGCTGGAAAACATTAATTTCATAAAAGAAGAGTATTGTACCAGCAGATTTAGCTACTGGCTAATTTTCATCTGTAGTCGTTGGGCAGTATGAAACAAACACTAATACGACTTATGCAATTAATCCAAAAACAAGTTCAAAATACAATAAATACTATATTCAGTCATAAAACAAAACACATACATTTCAATCATTACACCCAGCACTATAATGTAGGCAGGTGCCTGCACATGCAGTGCCCTGTACTTGATGACAAGAACCTTGAATTGAACTCTGAATCTGACAGGAAGCCAGTGAAGACAAAGAGGAAGAGGAGGAAAAAGATTATCTATTATTTAGGGGACAAGACTGGAGCAGCAATAAGAATCTCTGTTTTGTCATCACTGAGTTCAGTTTCTCATAGAGTTCAAGCAAACTATTACAACTGTTACAACAATTTTAGTACATTTTAAGGATTGAATTATATATATAATTGAATACCATCGGCATTGATAGGAGATACCTTTAAAGTGAAGTGGGGGGACATACAAAATTCTTAGTTTGGTTCACAGAATGGATCAGTATTTGAATTCTAACAAATACGGACAGTTCCAAATACATTACTTTAATTGATGTCCACCCTTTAAAACACAATGAGTCCTTAGTTTAGTGTATTAAACATCTACAGGACTGGAGTCCAATAACTAAAGTATTGTCTTGTACTCACCAGACATTTATTGGGGTATTCTGACACAACGTGACTGGCAATTGCACTGGGAAAACACTGCAAAGGATTAAAGATCAGACAGAGTTATGTGATAAGGCCAGTAATGGACAGCATCTTACTTATCCTTCAGAGCTGCAATCTCTGTCATAATTAAAAGTATGATTTATTAAGAAAAACTTACAGCCACAAGAATCCAGAAAAATGTGACAGACAAGTAGGGGCCAGGTAGCAAAGCGTCCATGTTGAGTGCAATAATTCCTCCAAATACAGCAGAGATTCCAACGATTATTTCAATCACCTATTGGAGATATTCTTCAGTGGATGATAAGCATTGACCAGACAGACATATCAAAGGGACAAAACTGAAACTGACTCACAGAATATGCCTTAAGGAGTCGAGTGGGGAACACTGCAGGGGTTATAACCACAGGTCTGTCATATGTCACCGGCTAAAAGATGGACAGAAAGATTGAGAGGAGTTAGGATGGAAAAGTGAAAGCTATAGCTATAGACATCAGTTGGGGGAAATAAAAACAATCACTCATGCACACACTGACACACACACACCTTCCTGTGGCAGCAGCAGTCTTCTGCAGAGCGGGCTGACAGGATGACGGTACTGGCCATCAACACCTCCAGCAAAATCATCAGAATGAGGTTAAAGTTGATCTGAAAACAGACAGAGTAGGAGGGAGAGCAGAGACACAATAGCAGATGGAAAAGTAAGAAAGAAAAAAATGCTTTATTCTGCACAGTAACATGATAGGTTGAGGGATTTACATTGACAGCAGAAGGGTTCAGGACCAGTTTACATCCAAACCAAACCAGGCAAGTAGTCGTCACAGCAAATGTTGACACATAGACCACCTGAAAATCTGACACCTTGAAAATACAAGAAAACATTTGGCCTTCATTAGTATAAAGTATTGTCTTGCAGAAAATTCAATTGAAAATCCATTAAAAGCTAATTATCTGTTTTGCCTTTGGTGTGTTCATTGTTTACTTACTGCAACATGTCTGTTCTTGGCAATGGCAAAACTGGCTATCGCTGCAGGAAGGCCCTGTAAAAGAACAGCAAGAAATGAGCTGCTGCATTTATCTATTTAGCAGAAATAATGTCTGGAAATTATGTGTCACTGGCATTTTGACATGGCAGTCTAGTCTAAACAATGTGTATAAACTCATTAAGGTAGAGATGTATGTGAATATGACTGTGATTATGATGGTCACTTACAGAGCCTGCAGCACAGCGTAGGTAGTCCATGGCAACAGGAAACACATTTCCCAGGTACAGAGAGAAACCCGATGTGATGAGCAGACTGCCCTAAGGACACACACACACACACACACACACACACATACAGGAATGCATTCATACAAATACAGACACTCATAAATGCAATAAACTGGCTTTGCAAGAAGGCATTTGCATTCTCTCACATATTCAGACACATGCACACACATATTTACAATAAATAATGAATCTTATGTGTCTGGTTAACCAAATATATAAGACAAACTGTTGACATTTAAAAGGCTGACAGGGAGCAACCCCATCATGTCCAACCATATCTATATTTTGTAAAGACCCATTTCAACTCCTCAATTAAATGTGGAAGCACAAAACCAGATTTCATGTTGCCATCCCACCCAAAATTTCTGGATTGGGATACTCATCAGAAGTACCCCAACCGTTAAAATTTGTGTGTCATGGACTAAATAGATACACCCTGTAATGTGCCTCCCATGTACCTCTCCCTGACCAGCTTTCCTCTCACCCCTATGAGGACACTGTAGAGCCAGGCCCTGTAGCTGAAGCAGGGGTGCTTTACAGGCTCCGGCTGGGCCAGCTGCAGGTCACTGGCTCTCACGTCCACTGTGTAGCTGTCCCGCTCGGGCCTATACCGCTCCCCCCTGTCTGGCCTTCTCTCTGCTCCCCTGTCACCCCGTCGTCCCAACGTCCCGCTGTCCCTCTCCAGAGTGGACATGTGACTGTAGGTGAACTCCTCTCTGGCTGAGAGCTCGTCGCACTGCATCACTGAAACAGCTGGTGGCTAACTTCAATGACTGAGTGGGAAACACGGAGTGAGGATTACAGCCTATAGGAAAGGGGGAAGAAAAATTAATTTGTGACTGCTGCATGAATACAGGGTCTACCGTATGTCTTTTGACCTGTTTTTAACATGTTTCAGCAATACGTTTATTTTCAAAATTAAGATTTTGAACCGGAGTACTCCAACAGGGAAATTCAGGAAACAAAAATGCATTAAAAGTGCATTAGACTAAAATAAATGAGCCGTTAATAATCATGCAGTATCCCCAAAACAACCCCCTGCTTTTTGTCTGCCTGAGCCAAGAGGGCACCACTTATTTCATCTTCCTCTTTTATACTGCATCTTTTTCACATATTGCTCTTTCAACACTCACCTGTTGTTGAGTCTCGGGCAGAATCTCCTCAAATATTGTCCAACAAAGGTATCCTCCAACAGCTGAGATCAAATCACCACATGGAAGACAGCTTGTTTTTGTCTGCAGCTCCTTCTGCTCCCCATTTCTCTCCCTCACTCTTACACTCTCTTTCACCCCCCTTCTCCTCCTCTTTTTTCCCTCTCTCTCTCCCTCTTTCTCCCTCTCCCTCCCTCCCTTTACACGACGTTTCTCAGAAACAGTTCTGAAAAAAGTTTTTTTGAGTGCTTCAAAGCGTGGAGCTAAAACACATGGCTGTTGTGCTGCCAGCCTACTTTGTGCCAAAGGGAGAGCGCCTGTGCATGACAACAAGGGGAGGATGAAGGGGCTCGCACTGGGGGCAGAGTTAGTAGGGCAAACACCCCTTTTACACTCCCATTTGCTCATGCACACACATGCACATCAACCCACACACAAAAGTGAACAATAGACACTCAGAAATGAGTTCATGGCAACACACAAAGTTATGCGTTTAGAAATTCCAGCTCATTGAAAGAAAAATGAAGCAGCCACAGAGATAAATTCACATAAACACCATCTTGTACAGTGTCAAACAATTGTTTTTTGGCTAAATAATTGAATGTGTCTCTCTGTGGAGTTCCCCTCCCGACTTCCCTTGGTGTTACTTATAGTGCTCTACTTGCAGCCCAGTAAATTAAGATGCCCAGCAGTGCTTTAGAAAAGAGGCAACAGAGACATTTCCATGGCTTAATCACATGGTCTCTTGCTTGACACAGCTAATCTGATGACGGACAATTTCTGCTTAAAATAAGATTCTCCTAACTACTCATTCAGGAGTAAATCCTGTTGGATGACGACATCTCGTGAGTGTGTTCATTGTGTCTATAAGCATATACATGTATGTGCACCTCAGGATTCCATTCAGTCTTTAACACAGTGGAGCATTCTCAGTTCAACATTGTTCTTGGGCGACGGTAACCATGGTAACTCCTTAACAACTGCTGTCACCCCGTCCCTCGCCATTCTAATGTCTCTGCCCAACACACACACACAAGCTGCAAATACCATACACGCTCAAAGAGAGAGCAGTATTTTGCAACAGTTCTTTGGAGACATTTAAGAGAATCTAAGGAACATGAGACACAATTCAATGTCTGGGAATGTAAAAAAAAAAAAAAAAACAATAAAAAAAGCCAGTTTGGACTGGATTGTTTACTCAAAGTAATTTGATTGTGAAAGTTTACAAATTCATAAACGTCTAAAACATCATGGAGCCAAACAAACCCTGAGGATCCTGCAGCCCCTGACATTTAAGTCACCAAAGAAAAATTAATATCACTATAATGTTTGTACTTGCATTTCACTGTAGCAGGCTGACACAAAGCCTGGTACAGTTTTTTTTCTATTCACTTTTTCAAAACTCTTCACACGTCAATGTGGACGAAACTGTTCTAAAATTCATAAACTGTGAATATTTACACTCCATTTTGCACGTTTATGTATTATTGTAAAAACAACACAAAATGACTGTAAATTAGAATGCAATTTGCTATATTCTGCTATATCTACATCTAAAAAAGGAATAAAAGTGCATAAACTCCTAACTAGGAGTGCTGTTTCACCATTCTCTTCCAGTCAGATTTCACTTGCAGGGTGGTGTCACTTTTCCTTCCACATTACGCTCCTTTCCTCTACCCCATGAAGGAATTGTTTCCCTCATGAAAAGTTAATGTGCACTGTCCACATGAGTGTGTCCCTCTTGGTTGTGTTAAATGGTGGATTTCTGGACATAGAAGATTGCCAGGGATGAGTCAGACATGCAAAAAAGTTTATTTCACGTGTATTGCAAAAGAGGACAGAATGAGAACTCGCTAGATATCATCTACATGTATTTATAGTAACTATGTACAGCTTTATTGGAATTGCTTTAGTTTTAATTTGGAATTACTCCAAAAAAAGCCTATTTAAGGATATTGCAGAATTTCTGCAGGAATTTCACAGAAAGCACTGAATTCAAACTTCTTCTATGCTGTATTTACTGTGCAACATGATGTGAAAAAATGATTCTAAAACTGTCAGTGAAGATGCAAAATGATGCGAATTAGTTTTCGACAATCGCTTACTGCTCACTATAAAGGAAACTAGCCTATTGAATGTCTATTGAGCAGTGGTGAATGAGTGAATGAATAACTAATTGTAAACGAAACCAAAGTTAGCTAGCTAAGGGCTAAATGGAAGTTTTGTTTGACATTAAGAAAAGAGACATTAAATGAATGAATTTATAAATAAACTGTCAAACACGACACAATCACGTCCATTTTGGTTCTAGATGAAGACAAAATCCATGCACTTTAAGATAAAGCTAATTATTAGGATTGTGTCTAGGAAATTCTAAGTAGCATTAGCATGCCTACTTTATTGTTGTTATTTAGCTGCTTTAGCTATGTTAGAAGAGTTTACAGTAATGTTACAGTAATATATTACAGTATTATGAATTATTAACATTATACACTGGTTGATGTAGTTTTATTACAACATTTTTTCAGTTTTGGAGTGCCATTTAAGGAACTTGTTTAAAGGTTTTTCTTTTCTCTTTTGTCATTGATTTTAGGCGATTTATTCAAGACGGCATTGGCTTGTGTGCAGTTGGGTGCCGAATTAAACCACCTACCAGCTGAGATCTAACTTTTTGGCTACTGAGATAAAATAACTGCCTTAAAAATTTGACATCAAACAGAATAATGGATGTCCCCTTGCGGTTGTTTTGAAGCCAGAGACTGCACCAGAAAAATCTAAGAGTAGATTCATAGTATTCTTTATATTAATCTTTATCGAGGAAAGATATATCAAGTCACACATACACAAGTCATGTGTTGTCAGCTGACAGCATCATGTTCCCGGTTCAGGACTACACAAGCCTTGAGCCTCTCACACACGAAATGACGACACCAATTGACTGTTACACATTTAGTGACCCATGCTGATGAAGAAAATATTCTCTCCCAACTTTCAGTCGTACAAGTGTGAAAGCAGTTCCTCAATGCAGTCTTCAAACAGAAAAACCAAAAACACAGTCATCCCTCTGACATGCAACATTTAAACATAGATATTTAAAAGATGAGCTTTATGTTTTTACAGCGATATCCAACAGTAAGACACATGAGAAAACATCTGCGGATATATATACATTAACTTACATTATCAATAGCTCTGTTTTTATGAACAATATTTACACAGTAGTGGAGGAAGGAAAAGTCCTCTTTCCCATCCAGTTGCCCAGAGTCACATCATGAAACTTCCTATTTTGCATCAGTCACATTACAGGTACTTGTCAGTTGTTTGTCTTGTTTGGCTTTAAAGAGTAATCAGCACAGATAATGCTAAGAGAAAATATACAAATGAATTACTCTGTACAGGTCCACATGTTTAAGCAAATAATCACAACATGAGGCAGTTCTTCCACACAGCCAGGAAGGGATACACTGATGGCTTATCACATTACGCTGAGGTTGGTTATTGTCTCAACACACTGAGCCACGTATGCAGATGTTCTCACTGTTGCAGTTGGTTGCAACCCTTCCTCCGTAGCCCGATCCATTCAGTGCAACATGAAACACACAGAGTGTACTACTCAGAAATTCTTGCTGAATGAGGGACATTGTTACAGTAATGTAGCCTATGTTCTTGGCAAATTGTGGCATAATGCAACTATCTTAAGACAGTCATTGTATGTTACTGTAATTAATTGTTGACAGATATCAACAAGGCAGACAGACAGACAGACTTGAAACCATCTGTGCTAAGATAAGAAGCACATTAGCAACGGATGAGCTTGACAGAGACAAAGATCTTAACTGGACAGTCCTACGAGTCTTATTTTTCTCTTTCACTTGTAATGACCTGTTGTTCAGATACATTGCAATACAGTGTCATGTCTCTGATGTGTCTCTGATAAATATTATCTGCTCAGAAAGGTCAGAAGATCAAACAATGGATCCCTTGGAGGAGGACAGGTGTATGGACTGGATGCGAATGGCCAGGGTTTTCTCCAGGTCCTGCAGGATGTCACAGCCAGGGCTGTCTGGAGGTGCGTCGTACAGTAGCTGTTTGAATGGCTCCAACTCGATCAGGATTACCATGTTCTTTAGAAAGTAACCCTCTATATAGGAAGCCAAGTCTGGAGCATCAAGAAACTGTGAAAAAAGGGGAAAAACATGGTTGTTTATCTGAGAATCTTAACACATTTTCAATAAAGTAAAGATACATTTTCTGTCTTTTTTTGCACCTTGGTGTGGTTGTAGATCTCCACACACGTTTCAGTGTTAATGTTCTTGGAGCAGATCATCTCACAGTGCCTCTGCAGCGCCTCCAACTGGAAGAACTTGGCTGCAGACAGAAGCTGGAAAATGAAATCAACCCAAATTAAAATCTAGAATCTGTTTTACATTTGATAATAAACATTACTGTAATATTTTAACAGTGCAATATCTATAGGTGACCTTGAGATTCTAAAGTGGTTTATACTACAGTATAAAGGTATGCTATAGTACATAACACAGCTGACAGTGAAAGCTATATGAATGGCCTAACCTCCATAATATCAGTGTTCCTGATGTGCAACGCTTCTGTCCCTCCAAAGTAGAGATACTGCATCACCAGCTGAAAGGAAGAAACACACATTGCACTGCTCTCATACAAAGATAAATACAGTATGAATTTCTGAAAGAAGGACTAGAAAAATGTGGTTTAAGTGTAATTCAAAAGTGGCTCACCTGGAAAATATGATATTTTACATTGCTGATTTCAATGCATGTGTTTTCACCACACGGCCTGTTTGCTAGAAGAGTTTTAAACCTTGAGAGAAATAAAAAGAGGCAGGGAGAGCAAGAGAGAAATAAAAAGAGAGAAATCACTACATTTTTCAGCATTTTATTAATGTTTTTACCACTGAATAGCATGTAGGGAAAGCACGATAAGCCTTGAATTATTTTACAGTAATGGGTTCGTTTTAAAATTAGTTTTCTCTGAGGACGTTATGTCAACAACACTTTTGATTGATGTGTCATTTCTCTTCAGTCACTTTATGACAGGATTGATTGGTTATCATCAATGCAACATGACATGAGAGTGAAATGGAGGTCCTGTCAAGATCCCGGGGGCCAGGAAAAATGAATTTATGGATCAGCAGGAAGAACTGTACAGTACTGCCATAACATCTCAACAGCATATAACACAGTATGTTAAACATTTGGCCATTGCTGTATGAATTAATTTATCCTTTCATATTAAAAGGTATTTGAATGATGTTTAAGTAAGTGTACCTGTTGGAAGCTGTGAAGAGTAGGACTTTGTGGGCGTAAAAAGGCTTCCCTTCCACCAAAAAGGTCACATCTGACATCTCCTTATTGTTCAGGAAGTGAGGATCTGAAAAAATACATGACCAGAAAAACTTAATGTTTTTCTGATTATCATAAAAAACAAATAGGATGTACAACTTAGCCTCACTAGCCATTCTAGATACATTTCTGCTATTTTTTTATTTAACAGTTTCTGAACACTAGATGGCGTTGTGTGCACTTCTCATTTTCCTACATTATGCATTCACTAGTAACAGCTGAAAATAAATCAAAACAGTCTTAATTCTGTGTTTTTACATTGTTAAACAGTATAGATTTTACAGTAATAAGACAGGCCCTCACCGAGACGTGACGACTGCTTCCTCTTGATCTCTGCCAGTTTGGGGATAGGGTAAGGGCCGTAACACTGGGTGAAGATTGCAGACAGCTGCTGGCTGATCACCTCATTCTGAAAAAAGCGTGATGAGTAACAAAACATCAGAGGGTGAGGAAAGCTGCTTGGGCGGGCAGTGCTCAGCCAACATCCCAGGAGTTGATGTTATGCAAGAACACAAGCACTTACTGTAATGATCCTCTCCTACACAAACATCCCCAACACAATTACCAGCACAGTGAGAGAGGTTCAACTGCAGCGTTCTATCATCCTATCATGTTCAGCATTCACTTTATTCAAGCAATTGCTCCAATAGACTGCATATTCATGGCTGTCTCACACCTTTGACAGGGGATCAGATGGAAATCAAGCTCATTTCTTACACCCTCTGTTCCTCAGAGATTACTTTAATGGGGAACACGATGACAGGCTGAGCTGGAGTAGGAGTGTGAGAAAGAGAAAGACAGGAAAGTAAGGTCTCCTTACCCTTACACCTAACTTTCCACTTGTCTGTGTGTGGTGCTAAAACTGGGGGAGAAGGAGGGGGAGTGCCATTCAGCTGCAGCAGTGGTGCGCAACACTACAAGCCCCATATGTGCAGTCAGGCTGCTTGCTCTTACTGAAGCATGACGCCAACAAACAGCTATTACATAACAGCCACCTATTCCACCAGGTACAAATATACATTTCTCTAACTTCCCCCACAGATAGAACTGAACTGAACTGAACTGGCCTCAGTTGAACTGAAATGAACTGAATTGTAGAGAACTGTATTTCACTAAATTGCTGAATGAAGGTTTACGTGGGCCGAGGCAGCAGACTATCTAAAAGATGAATGGCCACTACCTTGATGTCTCTGGTCCTCACAGTGGAGCCGGGGTCCCTGAGCCCCTCATAGAGATGAGGAGATGAGGGTCACTGGCCCCAACATATATCAACCGAGACAGAGAATAAGACTGAAAATGCAGCAATCCACTGAAGGCTAGGACGGACTGAGTGTTCGAGTGTGTGTGTGTGTGTGGTGTGTGTGTGTGTGTGTGTGGTGTTGTGTTTGTGTGAGAGAAGAAATACTGTGGGTATGGAATTCCACACACATGCGAGTCTCAGTCTATGCAGGTTCGCTTGGGTGTTTCAATTTTTGTGTGTGTGTGTTTGTGCACTGCAATGTTTTTTTCATATCAGCAATGACAGCAAAGCTCACCTCACCAGCAGGCCAATACTAAGCCCAAGACAAAGTAGACAAAACAAATAGAGGAGCTAGACAGGACAATGATGTGCTTGTTAAAATCTAATATGGCCTACCAAGGGGATCATGAGCTTAAGTAATGAGACAGGGCCCCGATCTAATGAGCAGCAACAGAGAGGAGCGGGGGAGCTTGTCATAAATCATTATCACTTTAGGTAATTGATATTGAGTAGGCCTCTGGGGCTGTGTCAGTCTTTGTGAAGCTGATGACCTGACTATGCTAATCATATAAAAAAGATGAGCACACAAAACAGAGCAGATATATTTGAAAGTAAAGAAAGAGATTTTTAAAGACTGAGATCAGAATGTAGCTTTGGAGGAAGTTCTACTGATCCTACAACTATGATGCCATACAAGGCGAGTCAAACAACTGAAATCCAAAGTGACTTAACATGTGATGCAGACAGTACCTTGCTGGCTCTGAGGATCTGGAACATGAGAGGCAGGCCATGCGTAATGAGCTCCTCAGTGTACTCCTCTTCCTCGATGCAGCTGAACTCTTTCAGGAGACCCTGGATCAGAGGCCGGCGGTGCTGATGGAAACATGTGCGCAAAGACTCGAGCCAAGTGTGCAAAGTCCATGGAACCCCTGGGAAATAGTTACATATGAAAACACACATGAAACATATAAAATGCACACATGAACATGCACAAGGAAGGTACAAATGTGGCACACAGAATGTGAACAAACCGAGGCTCCGTATATCTATGGTGATGTCTACATGCCCATGTTCTGAACTGTGGTACATGGCTTCTTTCAGGGCTTTAAGTTTGGCCTTCCCAGTTCGGATCAGGTCAATCTGGGACGGACTTCTACCTTCCAGCTCCGAACCCTCTGCCAGAATCTCTTCCAGGGATAAGACGTCCCCTTTTCCTTTCTCTGTATGAGACAGCAGCTTACGAAAGACATTTCTAGAACAACAGAAACACAAAAACAAGAAAGGAATTTAATTTGATTGGTCAGTACAGATTATAAGACTCTATTTAATTGCCTTTTATTGCATGAGTTCGTGTTTCCTGTCCAATATCACCACAAATGGCAAAGAGGTGAATTTGTATTATAAACCACACTTCTGTGTATTTTCAAAGTGATATGACAGTCACTGAGTGGTGGTCATTACAGATAAAGGGCAACCTGAAATAAACTGTCTCAGAGCTTAGATTGTTATTGCTGCATATTGCTGCTCAGTTTTAAGTAGGGTTAGACAAACAAATGCTCATTCATCACTCATAAAATATAGCTGCCCAAACCAATATAGCTGGTGTGCCAAATACAGTTAGATGCACTAGTGCTGTGTACCAGGTTTGGTGAAAATTGCACAAAAAACAAACTCAGAGGGAAAGTTTCTGTTATGCTCTATTTTATTTCAGAATAAATTCCTCATTTGCAAAACATTTACTAAAAAGAGTTATGTAATCTCTTACTTATTATAGGAGAAACATAAATGGCACATTGGCAGTCTTACAATTAATTACAATTAATTAAAGCATAGAGAGTATTTGTAAGTGTACACACCGAGGAATAGGGATATATATAATTTCTGTACCTAAAGGTATAATTGTCAGAAAAGTATCCTGTAAGGTACAAAAAAGGTCCTTAAGGTGATAACTATGGACCTTTGTTTAATTTCAAAGATACAAAATCACGGCTAACAGAAAGGAGTACATAATTGTACTTTTAACAAGCTTAAGGTACAGCAAATCAGTGATCACAAAATGTTGATTTAAATAGAAAGTTGGGTTTATTGAAATAAAAGCAGCACTACCGTTTAACTTTTTTAATTTTGCCACACTGGCATTTCAGGCAAGATGCCCTTTTTCAGCGCGTATTGGCAAGTGTAGCAGAGGGAAATGCTTCCACTAGCCATTACCATTACTCCAAATTTAATTTAGCTTAATTTTCACTGCTTCTAATTCTTTGACTTGTTTTTTCTGTATTTATTTAACTTTATTTTATGTTGTGGGCCTCCCTTATGGAGCCCCTGCAGAGTTTGGTAGTACAACCCATTTGTCAGGCTACAGCTGCAAAGCATTTGTACCCTTTTAGGTCCGTTCCTGTAACTTGATTTCTTAGTTTGCACAGCAGGACAGCTGGAATGCAAAATGTAAAATCTGTATACAGGCAAGCGGACATTAAGGCCCTGTAAAAAAAAAATAATAAACTACTCTGCATACATGCTTATGGATTCCCATAATACTTGAATTGGTAACAGTCACTTTGGTAACATTGATAATAATTGGTAATTAGATTTTCTAAGTCTATATTTTCATTCATTTAAAATGGTTGTGCTGTATCAAGCAAACACTGTGAAGAGGTACAGCAAAAAGACAAACAGGAATTTAGTCATGCAGTATAGTATAGTAAATGCTCTGTTGAGATTGTGCTTTTGCATGATTGTATGCTAAATTCATAGTATGAGTGCGTGTGTGTGATCTGTTTATTCACTCGAGCGTGTACTCGTGACTAAACATGTGTGTGTGTTACCTACCTGTGTCCGTGAGCTGCTGCCAGACTGTAGGAGTTCATGTCTCCCTGCGGCGCGGTGGAGATGCCATTACGGTACATGGTTCCCACCATGGGGTCCGCCCCCCGCTCCAGCAACAAACTCACCAGCTCAAAATTACCTGTGCATGAAAAACGATTGGCAGAGCTTATACGCACACACGCACAGTAAGATTTAACAAGAATGAGACAGAAAATGAGAGTATGAGGCAAACATTTGATCATTTTTCTGCATGCATGCCCCATGCTGACATTCAGGTGTTGTTATCAGCTGGTTATACAAGGCCAGCTGGTGTTGTCAGTGTGCGACTGTACAGTTGGACAGGAGGAAGAGGATGAGAGTCATGCTGTGTCTCTGTACCTGCAGCAGCCGCCAGCTGCAGCGGGGTATCTGTGTAGTTCTCCATCCCGTCTTGTAGGGACCCTTCCACGTTGGCTTTGGCATCCAGCAGCAGCTGCAGAGGTGGACACGGAGGAACGTGATGGGAGAAAGACAGGTTGACAGAGAGAAGAGGGTAAAAGATGGAGAGTCAGTTGGCTGCTGATAATGATTGAGAATGATTAGAAGTCAGTCTGGTAGCTTAGTATTCAGCTTCTCTCATCTGCTGACTGGTTTACATGTATAATAAATCTGTACAGGGAGTAGTGGATAATTAATGTTCACTCTGCTAGTTTACGACACTTCATGCTTCCATTATTTAAAGTAATAGTTTAACATTTTGGGAAATACAGTAATCAGATTTCTTGCTAGTTAGATGAAGGCCGATATCACTCTCTTACATCTTATGTTATATAGCAGCCAGTTAGCTTTGCAAGAAATAGTCCAAACAGTCCAACCAAGTCTCATTTACATTTAGTTTTTTGTATGGATTAAACAAACAAGATATCATATGTTAATTAGCTACCTTTAGGAGTGCTGATAGGCAGAGCTCTTTCTCCATGTTTCCTATGTAAAATAAACTGACCCTCTCTTTGGTTCAGATTCATATTTACTGTACAGACATGGTATCAATATTTTCACCAAACCTAGCCTATTTCCCACAATGTCTAACTATTCTTTTAACTATTCTTTTAACTATTCTCTGTCAATATTTTTACATTTAAATGCAGAAGTAACAAAAAAGAGCCAAATTGTGGTAGCAGTCTAAATATAATATAGTCTCACAGATCTGTTTTACTTTTTTTATTGATTTGTTATTATTATTTTAACTGTATTTTGTTGCCTATTGTATACTTAAAGTTGTCCTCGTTCCAGTACATGGCACTGCTCATACAACAGCTGAAAACGATGCTGCAGATGTATCTGGGGAACAATATGTTGAATATGAGAATGATCTAAGTCTCTAATAACTTTATGTCATCTAATAAGATGAAAAATGACTTGGATCTAAAATTAATATCCCGGAAAATTGAATGTGAAATGATAATATACCTAATGACAATACACTTTACTCTGAATTTAATCTTTTTAACAAAATTCTTCCTTTTAACTGATGTCCTCAGATATCAGTTGTGTTGTCACATGGCTAAAACATTTTCCATTTGAATTTAATGATTCAAAATCCAATGGACAGATCATTTAGAGGACAAACTGAATTAGGTAAATGAGTTCGATAACAATTAGACTGCTATGTTTCCACTTTCGACTCGCTAAATGCAGACTGATCCATTAGCTCAAAAATGCAAATTGACAGGAAGCCATGTTGTTCAGACTCACTGACCGGGTAATAGTCCTTTATTAAGATAAAAAGATCAAACTATACATCACAAAACAGCATCTCAATAATCTTGAAAAATAAAAAAGACAGGAGAAAACTCGTGGTGAAGAACCACTATCATCATCACCACCAAGAAGCTTTGATGACAAAAATGACAATGATGACCAACCATGAGCTGAAGCACAACGAGAGGTCATGATGAGAGAATCACATGTGAGAAAGTACCTGCACCACAGGCACATGTCCGTGTAACACAGCGAAAGTGAGGGGCGTCGCCTGCCGGGTTTCGGGAAAGACTGAGGGGTGCTTGTGCACTGAGTTTGGCACCTGGGGAAGGGATACAGGTGGTTGGGTTGGGTGGGTAGGAGGGAGAAAGGTGAGGGAGAGAGATACGAAGCCATTAAAACTACTACATGGCCTACGGAGCACAAGACAAGCAGCTGCGGGGAGGAGAATGGGGACAGGAAGCTCTACAGGAGAAACTAGAGTAATTAACTAGAAACCCTGGGGCTGCAGAGGACATCCTGTCACCGTGTTCGCTGTCTAATGAACACCATGGATTGATCTGTCTAGTTAGTCCTCTGATCTTTCCACCTTCCACTGCGGGTTTTTTTGACAGGGCTCTGACCCGGCCTCTTTAAGGCTCATCTCTCTGGTCAGGCTGCAATGAAAACCTATACTACTTTCCAAATGAAAGCGTGACATACATGAGACACACATGAGACACATTGTCACATGAACAAAGCACAAAGGCACCTATCTTCCTCATGCATTATGAGCGAACCTAGAGTGTGTATTTTGAAATAAAAGCTGGTCATGGTCTTCCTCTATAACAACTATATTTGTTTAGTAGTTTTTGTCAGATGGACACCTGATTTTCTGTTGGGGCAACCGTATCTAATAATTGCCAGAAAAAAAAAAAGAAGATAATTTTTTTATTGCACACATCCATTACTATAAGGAACAGAAGCTACACTGTAGTCACTCCAAATATTGTAAGCTGGTTCTACCTAACCTGTTAAGTGCCCTATAAGTACATTGCTCTGTAAATGGTTGAGCCTAACATCCTAAAACTGCATTGCAGTACACCAGCATTGGTGAGTATCAGCATTCTGGGAACTTACTTAGTTATCTTACCTAACGTCAGTAGTGCTGTAGAGGTTTCTGCAGCATAATGTTGTTAACACCATCTCCTAGTACTCTACCCCGTAGGTTCCCAGTATTTACAAACATACTCAGAGTATAAGTTATTTCTCATTTTCTCTCAAAGGCCCAGTTTACTCCCTTATTCCCCATAATCATGGTTTTCTTTCCTTGTTCCTACATTTAAGTACCAGTCGGAACTGGTAAGTATTTTATTGGTACCTGAGGCTGCTCAGCTGGTGAAAGAAACATGTTTGCACACATCAGAGGCAAACAACATTTGTCTTTAACTGTTCAAATGTTAACCAGGTTCAAAACCAAAATGCACAAGATGAATCTGAAAGTGGGTCTTTATATTTTAGTCGACAGTGCTTTGTGCTTTGTCCAGGGGTGATGAATGCAGTGGACTGAAAATCAACTCTGACACAATGGCTGATGGGACATGTTGCTGAGGTGACTAATGAAGACCATGAGGATCATGAGATCATGAGGCCTTAACTGAACAACCTCTCTGAAGTCTGCACAGTGTCAAAGCATGCCATCTCGATTCTCTGCACACTGTGAGGAATTCAGGTTGCTTTAAGTCAGGCGATATTTATCACTTCTTTCCCTGACAGGGAAAAAAAATGACTCAGCAACAAACCTCTGCATCATGTTTTATGCTCTAAATACTCAAATGCAGTTTCATTGCACATAAACTTTCAATCTGTTTGTACACTGCTACAGTCAGTCAGTGCCTCATGATCTTCAGCTCCTATACATTTAGCACAGTGACATGTCGGACAGCACAAAGAAAAGGGAGATGAGGGACAACATGATTGGTTTTCTCCAAATCAATATCACACATAGTTTTCAACACTTACAGTAGAAACACTGTTGAATTACTTTGGGACTACCAAAGACAGTATAACAATGTACATATTGAATAATACAAAGATCCTCTCGACACCTCTCACCTGTCTTAAAAAACATTCCACCTTGATATATACAATGCTGATACTTCGAACTAGAAAGTCATTAAAAAAAAAAACCCGGTTGGTAGATCAGTTTCTTATTTAAAAAAGTTATTTAAATTTATCTAAGAAGAGCTATGTGTACTCCATTTTCTTTGTGTTATTTCAATCTTTCCTTCATGTGACTTTCATTTGACTTCTTTCGACTTTTTTATGTTAAACCAGAATAGCAGTAAAAACTTCATCAGCACTGACCTCGCTGTTAATATCAGCCCCCGCATCCAGCAGCATCTGCACCATGGCCTCGTCTCCGCGGACACAAGCGTACATCAGCGGGGTCATCCCCTACACAAGCACAGGCACAGAGAACAAGGGCAAGCGCAGAAAAAAAGATAAAAGATACACTACACTAAAATGGTCTCATCTAATCCCAAATCTTCTTCCCTGCTTCCTGTTTTGAAACACGACATTTCTTGATTTTTATATTTGAAATTAAGCATTTTATCTTATTGAGGAAGTGCCATGTCACACATTTGACAGTTTAACTTAAACCATTTTTTTTTTTTACAATATAGTGCAGAACAAGGTTGAACTTTTGATCTGCTATAAACTTGTATCCTTGACAGTTACACTCCTGGCACCTTGAGTCAGATAAGTAATATTCTATTATTGATCGTTTTGAAGGATACCATATGAATCAAACCTTACCCTCTGAGCCATCAGAGACGTCAGCAGACTTTGTCTGACAGAAACATACAGTACTAGACTCTGTTTGAAAGTTTCTGCTTAGGTCAGCCCCAAACTAAATGTTGATTTTGCCATGGAAAATCATTAGCTACACTTGCAGTGTTCCCCTGATGATTTACTGTACTGGAGGTGGTAGTCGTGATATAATGCAGAGCACCTTGGCAGGAAAGCTGCAGGAAAAATATATGTCAGAATAAGCTTTAATATTCATGACTGCCTCTCTGCTCACAAGTCTGCACGCTGTTCAAAGGTGAAGGAGCCACAGTTCACCAAGCAAACAAAGATTTTCTGTTCCACAGGCTGTACTGATCGTGTGTGTGTGTATCAGTGTAAATGTTTCTGCATATGCATTATTTAATGTGCTGACTGTGTCTCTAACCTGCTCACTCATGCTGTTGATACCATCGGGCCCCAGCAGGTTGACAGCCTGCTTCACCAGGTCTGTTCGTCCACAACTGAGCATACGGAAGCCCAGGTCCTGCAGGAACTTTGCTTCAGTAGAGGCAGCATCCAGTTTCCTCGAGGCACAGAAGCAGTCATCCGTTCTGAAGGGTAAAGCACACAAAGTGATTCACAATGCATGCAAGAACGTTTGGACCGTTTGCAATGTGCCATATTTTCCCTGAACACCTGACGAACTTTATTTTTCAACAGCACACGAATGGAATGGATGAGTTCATGGGAAAAACGCATACATTTTCTTGCTCATATCACTGATGTGCAAGTGTGTGTGTGTGCAAGTTCACACATGTGCCTGCTGGTGTTTTTTTATTTGCAGATGAAGAGGTTGGGTGCACACACGCTCTGCAGCCTAACGGCGAGTACACTGCTTACAGCCGTACCGAAGCTGACGGGGCTCGCAGTCCACTCCAGGCAGCAGCAGTCTGGCAGCCTGCCGCACATCATCGCTGTCCACAGAGAAGCTGCGTCTGTGTTCGGCGTGAACTACAGCAACGCGCACCCACTCCATCAGAGGCGGCAGCACCATGAACGGCCTGTAGGGGGAGATAGAGGCACATGCTGTGGCCACCAGAGACTCATGCTGAACTTCAGTCATACTCAGTAGTACTTAGTGTGCGCAAGCACTTGCAAGGAAAATCCACCTAATACAGAATTTGCATATGTTATTTTGAAGATCTTGCCCGGTATAGCAGATGTTTGAGAACAGGATGAACTCTGTCTAGAGGATGGAATCAAAGACCTAAAACTAGTATGTCACTGAGACATAACTTTGATGTGAGAACATTTAAACTGAAACAAGATCATAGCATAGATTATAGACCCTACATCATAGCACTAAAACAAGCAAATTCTGTTTGAAATATGTTCAGAGTCTGTCAGCTATGAAAATTTGTATCCACTATGTCTTAAGCCTCAGCTGGTTACACAAAAGAAGCCTCTATAATGTGCTATAAAACCACACACCATGCATTGCAACATATGCGTAATGCATTATAGTTTTTATATGCCTTAAAATGCACTGTGATGCTAAAACAGTCATAAGACATTACATACATCAGCATAGTACTTTAAACTGAAAACACTGCAATTGCTCTGCTTCTAATCTATTTTGCATGAAATTATTTTATAATAAATGAAGAATGTGATTATTGCATGCTAACATATAGTATTTATGATAGCTCACTATCTGTTTAAGCTAAATTTTTCAAACCTACTGTACTATAGAGCATAGACAGGGGCAGGAAATCATACAGTTGATCCTGACACGAGAGCTAACAGTGAACAGCTTGAGAGAGAAAATTGAAAGTGTGGTGGCACGGAGACAACAGAACCACAGTCTCATAGAAAGAAAATCTCAAAGTGCGAACTCCGGCTCTGCAGGACCAACAGCCCTGATGTTCACGGATGTAAATATAGAGTCTAAACAAATTAAATAACTTCTATTCCTGGCCGCCTGTCTACCACTTTCCTCCACTCATCTATGTCATTGTTTACTGCAGCCACATTGAAATCCATATGCATAAAGATAAATATGCATTATTTCACATTTTGACCTTCGTTACTGTACTCCTAAATACATTATGAAAAACATAACCACACTCTCCATATTGTATGGCTGCAGAAAGGACCCTGTTGTTCATCAGACTTTGTTGAGTTATGATGAGACAAGTAATGCTGGTGTATTATAATGCATTACACATGTGTATACAAGTATAAAATAATTCAAGACATGGGCTTTTTTTTCTAGGTCCAACATGTAACATTTAGGAAGTCCTTAAAGAAAGTTTGAATGATTAGGAAGGAACATATAATAACGATATGTTCCCTCAAAAGCCCAACTGAAACACTAGTTCACAAGAAGTTCAAGGTCTTGCTGTTTCCAAGCAAACCTCTTTCAAGAATCGCAATAAAGCTGAGACCTTCCTGAGGTGGTTGTTGCAATCTCAAGGCTTTCCCTAATTTGGGCTCTGGCTTGAATACGTCTAAAGAAAACATACATAAATGTAATTTTTTATTACAAATGGTGATTAGAGCTAAAGCAGGCATGAGTTGGATGCCTGGGACAAACATTAGCTGATAACTTGCTCCACTGCAGGCGATAGTCTGGAGCCCCAGAGGAGGACTGCTCAGGCTCAACTGTCAGCATTGTTTCCCACCTCTGCTGCAAGCTGACAGGGGTTTCCACCAAAATGTAGGAAATAAAGAAAATGTCGAGGTATAAATGCTACAGTGGAATGTGATGGTTGAAAAAAGAAATAGCTCATAAACTCAGCAGCAGCATTTCATGAGTAAAAAACAGCAAGGATTGTGAAGGCTGTTCTGTGCTTTCCTGACTTGTGGGAAAACTATGAAGTGCCCAAAACCTACATGATGACGGGTCAAGGGAATTAACACCATGGAAACATTGCCTAATCCTTATGTCATTCACGCATAAGTCACCAACACAGTCCTACAGCTGCCGGCTGATAATGTTCCTCTATGTCAGTGGCGGTAATTGTAAATACTAACTGAGCACATGTCCGCACACGCCTGCTTCCACAGCTCCTTCCTGGCCTGTTCAGGTCACCCAGAGGGCTCACTCAAGTAGCCAATAAGTTAACAATTCGCTTATATAAAACTGTACTTTCCTTCCAGAGGAAAACATCTGGTGTGCCATTTTGGGCAGGAGTGTAAATAGCGGATAACTAAAGGGAATTTCCACTTTTTCTCACAATGGTCTCTTGGTGTTTGCCCCAGTGAACATTAAAGTTGCAATATTTTTACTGTCCTGCAGTACAAAATGAGGTGAAGGGTCTGATGGATTAATCAATACCAGACAATTATATCACTATACTCTACTACTACTATATCATTCTGCTTTAAAAAAAAACAACCTCACTGTATAAAAACGTAATTTTTCACAGCTAAAATATGATGGGAGGTGCAAATAAACATCTAGACAACTTTTTTTCTCTACAAAATATAGCATATAAATGTTTTATATTTCTACTGCATTGTACATTGTGCTATCGATTCTTCATTAGATGTTCCTGTTACATCTTGCTTCTCGCTCTATTGTGAAAATGTGAGTTTTTATATTTCTATCAGTTACAGGCTGGAATCTGTGCCACAAACATGTTGGCAATCATCTTCTCAGTTCCTAATGGAGGTTGATTGAAGCCATAATTTGTGCTCTTAGGTCCATAATGACACCTCTTTTTTCTCAACGATGTTCAAATAAAACTGAATGTTTATCCTGCAATAAGTGATTTCTTTACCGCTTGGGGAGAGCTAAGGACAGTGAATATTAGACTTACAATTGTCAGGTGAATAAATACTAACGTTGCTCTGTATTTGCTGTATAAGTAGGAAATTGTTAGCTAACAAGTTTGCCATATGAACTCAAAAGGTGATAAATATGTTGTGTTGTGTTTAAACTGCTGGCTCTATGTTCACCTGTTAGTTGCTAACTTTGTCTGTCTGTTAAGTGCACCTCTGTATTTTACAGTTTTAGAGCCTTTTTTTTTTAAGCTTTGAAGACTGATGAGAGCGGTGAGAGTGAACCAGAACAGTAAAGTTGTAGGCAAGAAACCCAAAACAATGAGCTGAAAGATGCAAAAAACAGAAGAACTGAGGGAGCTGCAGATTGAGGTAATAATCACTTTTCACATACAAGTAGTCATGTCATCCATTGTTAGTGCAAAAAATATTGAGTATAGCTGCTTTAAAACCACTATGTGTAAATTATATGTGATTAAAGCATTTTTCCAGTGATTGTAGTGATATTAAATTCTGTTTGTGAAGATTAGAAAATTTTCTGTTCATTGCTTTCAGCCCTTTATTCTCAAGCTGAAGGGTCAAACCCTTTGTGTTACTCTATATTTTTCTTTTTGTGAATATGAAATTACCAGAAACAACCATGTATTAGACTCAACATATTTCCACTTCCTAAACCTGTCTACGGCTCCCATCCCCAAGCTCATCTGTTTCTAATGTAGTAAAAAAGGGCCACAGTATCTAGTTTCATTTTCAAAAAAGGCTCAGCATAATTTCCTAAAACAGCAAGGGACTGTAGGTTTTAGAAAACATTAACCAAACAACAGTAAGTAGTACATTTATTGGGGACTCTTTTCAGCCGTGGATTAATACACATTTTTCCCACTGGTAAGTAGACATACAGAGTGTATGTGGGACTATATTATAAGAAATAATATAACCAGTCTTATCCTCTAGGACAGTTGAGATTTTTAGATAACTAGTTTGTTTTTCACTTGTCTGTGCTGTTTAGTTTTGGTTTGAAGTTTTTGGAGCTCTTTATTTTCTATCTACATGTTTACTTCTTACCTCTCTGTTTGTAAGGTAACCTTGGAGGGCTCAACATTTGGGTTCTCCCACTCCATCTGAGGGCAATGCATGAAGTAACAGAGCGTGTAGATCGCCTCGGGCTCCCAGTGAATTACACTGCTCTTCTGGTGGATCGGTGTCCCATTGTTGTGGTTCTTCATATACAGTGGCTGTAGGTAGTGCATGGCCCGGGACACTAGGTCACCTACACACACACGAGGACATAACATACAGGAAAACACAAAAAGAACACGAGTAGTGAGAGAGGAATTCATGTGCAGAGATGAGAGTGAAAAGACAGGAATATTTTGAGCGCACGGCCTTTAAAAAGACGTCGGGGAATCATCCTCATTCCTTCGAGCCCCCTTAGATCTCACTCTGTCAGGGGAAATCGAGAGTTTCCACACACCACAGTCTGGAAAAAGACAGGGTTCTTTCTGTGCAGCTCACAGAGGGAGAGCAGGAGATGCTCAGGACTGCACTGTGTGAAGAATGAATATTTATGGATAAACATTAGCTACTCCAAGCTATTTCCTCTGCATAATTTGTCAGTACTTTAAGGTCATCCAGTTGGGCTTGAAAAATCAAAGCTTGAGAGGACTCTGCTAATAAAAATTTGAATATTCTCTAGGTGGGTTTAAAAGAAAGTAAACAGTTCTTGGAAAAGCATGTTCAGCCCCCCTTTTTTTAATACTTTAGGGACAAGACAGATAGCCTTTTATTGCAGCAAATTTAGTTAATCAGAAATATAAGTTACAAGACCACCATCTACTTAAAAAAAACATTATGACTGTGGCACCTTAGTTATTGAGTGTGCTTACAGCCCAGTATTATTACAGCACGGACTCAAATCCCATTTCTCTGAATGCTGTCAGATTTCTGTCGCTTCTCCTTCCTGTCTAGCCTCACTGCACTATGAGAAAATGTAATGAAATTTTGAAGTGGGGCCGATCTGAAAAAACACCCTCTGTGTCATATTGTTCTGGCCAATTTGATGTTATTCAAGACAAAAAAGTAATAGAGCACGATGGCACTTGGTTCCCTGGTCTAAATGAGCTATACTGTATGTGTGCCTATACAATGGGCTACAGAGCGGGAACAAACAGTCATTCCCATGGACAAAAGGGTTTGTTTAGCATTAAAATTGTGCTATTTGGCGCTTGCCAAGATTCCATTTAGCCTGGACAATGTGAGAGGCGAGTGTGAAAAGGATGCCTGAATGAGGGAAGAGCATTCATGCAATAAAACAGTCAATCTCTCAGCTGTCCTTTGGGAATAGTGGGGCCGTGCTGATAGAGAAATGTCCTGGACAGCATCTACTGACGTAATGAGCAGGAAATATTATGACAGGAATGACCACCTCTTATACAAACTTTAAGGCCCTGCAGTTTCTCTCTGTTGCTATCTGTTACTTCTCCTGTGTCTTCCTCTTAATTGTACTAACAGGAATACAGATAAGCTTGTAACAGTGCGCCCTTAAGATTGGTAAGGGGAGCTGAGGTGGTCAGGAACAGCCAGTTCTCATGTCTTATTTATGCTGGCCTGTGACATTTCCTATGCCAGCTGGAGGAGGCTTGCAGGTCTGAGGAGGAAGATTGTTTCTAACACATAAAGAGTGCAACAGTAGATTAGCAGCAGCTTAACACATAAAGTGAGATTACTGCTGCTCCTTCAGCAGGTGTACGCAGAAGTAACTGCTGAAAAACGATTAACTTGGTGTTTTCAGTGACCGTATACCAGCACAGAAATGTGAGGATTCTTTGTTTTGGCCAAAAAAGAGGAAGGAAGGATGGACGGAAGTACAGCCGTTTAATAAGATAAAACATCAATAGCCTTTTCATTGTAAGATTCAAGCCTTTAATCAATACCTCATCCTGGGTAATTAATTCTTTATGCTAACAAGAAGAGGAGAGGTGGAGGACACACATAGAAGATCCTGCTCCTCAGGTATCTCAGTGATTACCTCTTAGCAGTGAGGCAATGCTCTCTCTTTGTTTTCAAAGCTTTAAAATCCCCTTAGAGGACCAAAATCACACAAATATGCCAGTTTTCAGAGTGTAATGGTACTGCTCTGATTTACGAGGGATTTTATGAGAGTTGGCACCCTTAAGGTCAGTTACCGGCAATGCAGCACCCACATAACAACCAAACTGCTCATTACTTCAGAGTGTGAAGGCTGTTTAATGTTTAATGGCGAGAGAAAGTATACTCCTTGGAGATGTAAAAATTAACTCTCCTATCTGATGGAGCAATTATATTCAAGCTTTTATAGGTAAATAAATATGCAATAACTAGCTTTCCTTTGGGTCTTGATGAATGCATCTTAGCTGCACTGTGCAGCTGCTTCCATCATCACAGATTCTGTGTTTCAATTATTTGCTGCTATGCGGCCATGATTCCATTTAATGGTCGCCTGTGGCCATCCTGACTCAACAAGATGGTAAGCTATTCTTCCTGCTATTACTTTTGTCCATTTGAATACAGCCACCAAATACCACGCATATCAGATAACATGGAGAGCACAAACACTGTTTTTATTCTATCTAAGTCTAGCAAAGTTAATGCAAAAAGATTCACTGAGAAAGGCAACTACTTAACAGCTTTCTCTGAAAATAAATATTCAATTTCTGTCATGAAGAAGGTCTTTCCTCATTATTACCCATCTCAACTTTAACTTTCACTGAGGAGTCATACATTAAAATCTGTGATAAGAACAAGCACACAGCGTCCCTGCAGTAAAGTGTCTGTGAGCTCAAGAATCAGGACAGGTTAGTTCGCAAAAGATGGCACACAAAGTAGCGTCACGTGACGACTCTCTTACTGTCAGAGGTCTCTGGAGTCTTTATTAGAGGAAGAAGTATGTTCTCAGAGGAATGAGGATGTGATGTACATTGTTGTTACATTAATTACATGTGTGTATACTTCACTCTTCACCAGCATACTGTTAAACAAAAGGCTACTACTGTTGAATCAAAGCAAAAAAAATCACATTGAAAAGTGAAAATTTGCCACCACTGATTCGCACATTGCTTTTGTCATGTGTAACCCCTCTAACTTTATGTAATTTTTCTACCTCAAAATAACAACTTCACTAGCACTTTTGATGCTACACTGACTTGTTATAGGGCGAATGGTGCCTCTCATTCTGCTACCCGTAGGCTATGCCTGTTCTCACACTGTGTAACTCTGGTCTCTGGGTCGGGACGAGCATGTAACGCTTTACAGCAGTAGACACCCACCACCTATGGAGAAAAGGTTTTCTGGTTTGTCCTCTAATGTCCTCAGGCGGCTTTGCTCTCGTTGATTTACAGTTTTCTGATGGACAGTAAAGTAACTGCTGCAAAATGTAACTGCTGATAGCTAGTAACGTCCATGGCTTGCAAATTAAGCCAACAAGGAAGTATCAAAAACTACAGAACCTCAGAAGGCCACTTGAGGCTGGTTTACAGAAAGGAGTCACTGCCAGAGAGCAGCGCTGGCTGAGAGGGCAATATAGCCGGGCTCAGCAGCTACTGTGGACACTGGCAGAGGCAAAGAGACCCAAAAGGGTGATGTGGGACTGTGTTTTAGTTGTTGTTGAGAGCTTTGTGAAATTAAAGGCTGCAGACAGACGGCAAGCTGGCCTTCCTGCTGTTGGATTAGTAAGTAATATTAGCTGGTTTGCTTTGTCTTGTGTGTTGCACTTGCTTGATGTTTGGCTTTTTGGCCATAAGTAATGTAATCATAATAAATGCATGTGTACAGCTGTCAATATTTACATACTCTGCCTCTGACTGCCTTACCCTTTGCCCCAATTCTAACGAATCTTACTCCTAAACCTAACCCACCAAACCAATGAAGGCAAAGAGTACTAGCCAATCAGAGGTAGAGTATCATGACTTTGCCACCCTGGGGAAAACATTTGACCCCCTGTAGCTGCCAGTACTTCCTCAAAAGACACTGATTGGTGTGGAACCACTGTCCCGGCCACAAGAATTTGCTACTTTCATCCGATAAATGACCCCACCTTGGTATTAAAAGTAAGCACTTTCTTCAGAGCAGAGAAAAACAAAACATCCATACACTTTTACTGCTGCCACAACAAAATGATATTTGAAAGGCATCACTGAGAGTACTGACAGCCATTAGCAGGATCTTCTGTTAGTTCTCAGCTGAAACATTCACACCTGATTCCATCACACTAGACCAGAAAATAAAGCAAAGGATGAAAAGATTTTTGGAACAATTTCTCCAAAAGTCTTTTCCTTGCTGTTGCAAAATGTGTTTTGAGCTCCATTTCCAATGACAATGAATAATGATGTTCAAGAGTGTTTTTTTAATCAGCATTAATAACTAATATGGCAAAGTACCTACTAGGGGATGTAAGGCTAAACATTAATTATTGATACCGGAATATTATTGTAGTGCCAAATATAGTTGCAGGTAATACAATTTGTGAACGTGACAAAGAAGTCAAGTATAAAATCGAGCCATAAGTGTCTGTTATTGACTTAAAGCTTTCTGTTTTAACCATCCCCAGGCTGTAGCTTCATATTTAGCATACAGGCAGGAGATCAATATAAATCTTCCCAGCTAACTCGTCGGAGTGTATATTCCGAAATGTTGATGATGACTATTTCTTTAAAGTAAGAGAGGGAGGTTGAGCGCATGATGCTGCTGGTGCGGTTGTGTGCTTTGAGGCCAACAGAGAACTCAACCTGGTCTCACTCCCAAGTCGTCCAATACTGCAGCTTGGTCAGTTTCGGCAGTATAGATTGACATATATATGGAGAATGCCTACACGTATTTTGCAAACCCCATGCATCTGGAACACTGTGTGGAAAATATATGAAGCAAGATTTTGTCCGACATGATCATGAGTGATGATGACACACCAAGAGTCCTAGTAATTGCTGTATTTGTCGGTCTGTCATTTTAAATATGCTAATATGGCATTTTGGCAGAGGAGAAAATGAGGAAATACAAAGAGGTAAATCAGTGGCAAACCTCTAAAAACGAGTCTAAATGCCAGTGCAAAAAAATTTCCCTGCATAGGATGCAAATTTGACTGCACTGGAGCAGCCAATGCTATTTTACTCCATGGAATTTATTTAAAAAAAACTCTCATCTGTCTTTCTCTCTACCCATCCCATCTTTTATTCTTTCTTTGCTTCCCATCTTCCTCTCTTTCAATGTGACGGCCTGATTCAATCATTGCCGGCTATTCTGCTTTTCTCAATTATTAATTTTTTTTTGGTCTAGCTTGAGCTGTGTGTCTGTTTGCAAATCCTATAGTTATTTACAGAATTCCTCTCCAGAGCTGATAACATTACCACTGGACTAAGCTTTGCTATTATCCATCGGCTGCTCTGTTGTCTCAGAGTGTTTGCAGTGTCAACATAACAGAATGAGTCCTTGCTTGACCTCATCAATACAACATGGACAGAGCACTGGCGATCTGCCTCAGTGCTGCACCCCACCCCTCCCACCTCGGTCCTGAGAAAACATACAGTGAGGAGAATTGGCTCACTGTTTGTTCTGATGATAAATGTTTACACTAAATATACAATATTTTACCAGCCTTGTCTTAACATACTGATGCCATCACAACAGAAACTGACCCCTTCCCCATTGTTTGGCTTCAGGATTTTTTAATATTGTCATGCACATTAATAAATAATCCATACTTATGTGACTGAACTTGTTACTCTTCTGTCAGAGGACACTGCACGCTCAGATGTGTTTTCTGGAATCAGTGGCATGCAACTGAGAAACAAAACTGTACATCACTTCCAATGAGCATCTTGATTCTGTGATTATATCTGATTACATCAAATGGGAAAACATGAAGTTGTGTTCTCAGTGGTTTGCCGTGCTTGCCAGTGCAGATTTGTTTGTTTGTTAGGCCTTATGAAAGTTTGTTAGAAGGTCAGAACAGAAAATACTTTGTCCAACTTTGGTTGCGTGTTATAACTTTTTTGGTGAGTGAGGACAAAAGCGTAAAACATCATCAGTACCCTAAGCAGAAAACCTTTTATTATTATTATTATTA